GGATTTCTCCAAGACAGATGCAAAAATCTATAAACCCCAGGAAAATGTCCTTTGTGCATTCCTGTTTGTATCGTGCCTCACCCTGATGACTTAAAGACAATCCTGCAGGAAATGTAAAAGTGCGGCCATTCCTCTGAGTTCCTGCAGGACTTTTACATTTATTACTGTCAGAGTTGACAAGCATTCCCATTCCCTTGGAACACATGTCCCAAAACTGTTAACAGACTTGATGGAACAGGAGTGAGGGGCAGGGAGCAAGAAGCTGAATGGTGTAACGCGTGCTCAGAGCAACTGCCCATTACAGATTACAGGCTTGATTTTCATCATGACTCATAAAGAGGGTGTACTCCTTCAAATAATGCTTGATAGCTGCTTGGGCACATTGGATATCCTGAGACAAGTGAAAATCACAGGAGAAGCTCAAATTTTGCTGCTGAATTTGTGATGTACATGTGCTATGCCATGTACTTTTGGCCATGTACTGTATTTAAAGGAAGCAGCACTACCAAGTGTGATGCTTAGGTACGGTGAGAGTAACCAGGGCTGATGAGGACTGACGACCCAGCACCACACGCCCTCTTCCCGGCCGTGAGGCTACGAGAGTCACACATAAGCACGCCCAAAGCAGCAGGTTCAGCCTCACACGTGCCATAGCAGCGCTCTACTGTGAGCTACTTCTTGCATCTGCTAAACAAGATCATAAAATGCTACCTGCAGAAGATCAGAACTTGATATCTCATCATGCCCGTCTCAAGGGCTTGCTGTTTGTCAACCAGCTCCTTGGAAGAGATTCAAAATGTGCATGCACAGAATGGCAGGCCTTCATCTCTAACATTCCCAGAGAAGTCTGCTCTTATTGTGTTTCAGGTAAATATCTTCTAAGCAATAGTATTACCTGTAAATACTTGACTGTGAAAAGTCCACAATGGTGCAGGGAAAAATACAAGCCTGAGGAGGAGGCTGTAAGTGGAGACACTGTGCTTGAGCCTGCCGAGACGTCTTATCGCATGAGCTCCAAGCGTCTGCAACACCACGGACACTAAATGCGATGCTAGGGAGGCAAAGCACACGTGTGCATGTGTGTGCATGTGGAAAGGCCGTCAAAGGAAGCCCAAGAGATTCCTGAGAGGGCAAAGAGCACGCTGCGTTCTGCACTCTAGGCAATTAAAGCAAGGGCGTACACAAGCATTAACTCGTTGGTGAGTCCTGGAGCAAACTCCAGAGATCAGGACCTGACAAGCCTCTATAAGAAAAATCTATTTAGCAAATGAAAATACAAAACAAGTTGCTTTTAACATTTATTTGTAATTTGATGCACAATTCATAATCCAAGAAAAGGAAGTTATGCTATACTTTTAATCAAAGATTTGCTGACCACAATATAGGGTATAAAATAAAAATGAATGGATACATCATTTATTATGGAACTAAAGGCTTTATGTTTTGGAGTAAAGCAGATTGCAATGTATTCATATTGGAAAGCTCCTACTGCACATGAAAAACAGATTAACACTGAGATATTCGTTAGCAATACACACAAACCTATATTTCTTTCTGCTTGTGAATTTACTATAACCATACATAAGCATTAAGCATGAAGAATTGCCATTGGGGGAAATCATTTTGCCTGTTTTCCTTATACATATGTTTTTGACAAATACAATCTGTAGGGTAGATATTCCATTTACAAGTAATCAGATCTCTGATCCGTAACATGCACATTTTGGAGCATTAATTGACACAATTAAAAGTTATTTAGGGGATGAGCCAAAAAAGTTGCCACAGTCCAGAATCCTGAAATCCAACCTAGACTTCCTAATAACCTGCTTTAAACGCTTTTCAATGGATAAAACTGCTCGCTGTGGCAAAAAGTAACAATCGAGCAAGCGACGCTCCGTACACATCTGAAGAGTGCAGCATGTGTTAGCAGATTGCAAATTTATTCTATAAAGTGTCTAGTGTGAGGAGGAATTAGCAAGGATTATAAAAATACATACTACTATACGTTGTAGTAGTTGAAAGCGATTAATCCAGTTCTTAAATCCTATTTTAAACTCCCTTTCATTTCTTCCCATAGAAAAACATTGCTTTGTTTGAATGTTACGTACTTAATTACATCTTCTAAGAAACTGTTTTAAAACTAAATGCAATGTTTAATTACAAAATACCTCCTTGCAAACAGTTAGCTTGTACGTTGGTTTGTAGTTCATTAAAAATGCTTTCTTAATTATATTTACAGCAGAAAATTACATAAAGATTAAAGAGGCTATAGAGGAACTGGGAAATTGTGGCATGAATTGTAAGGAAAAGGTTGTATTTCAAATAACGGACGGCTGACGGCTATGACTGCCTAATTACTGCCTCTCTAAAAAACTTGATTGTCATAAAAATAATAATTGGGGAAGAACCCTGTATTCTTTGCAATGGCTGTCAATACTGCATTTCTGCCCGAGAGCAGCTTCTCCAGGGCTAGTCCGAACGCATCAAGGAGGCATCAACGCGGTGCAGAGCGCAGCCTAGCTGGGGGCCGCGTCCCCGTGGCGCGCGGGGCGCCGCGCCGGGGGCAGCCCCCGCGCGGGCTCGTAGGGGCTCGTCC